TATCAGATCATTACACAGTAGGACCCACAAGCACATATATTCTCATTGTAGTTAGTTACACTTCCTCCTCATGTATCTACACATGTATACCCTTATAAAAGACAGTATTGACTACTAGGTAAAGGGGATTCTTTTCCCCTGACCCCTTGCTCAAGTACTAGGTTATCCCAGTCAGTAGTTGAGTGAACTAAGGGCAATTAGAATTCTCTTGTAAGGAACAGTGAGTTTCCTTACACCAACTTTTCTTCATACTCCTGGTGCTGAACATAGAAAGTAAGTTGAAGAGCAGCCTGTGATATTCACACAAGTTACTCACCTTTTCTTTACACTGCCACAGCATTACTATACTCTTCCACACTAATGATGGAGAAGTGTCTATCTTTGCCTGATAGACTGGATATGTCCTTTCACCTAATATAGGCATAATCCAGAATGAGATTTTAGTATTAAGGTACTATGAGATGAAAGCAGCTAGTAATCTAGCACACACAGACACAGGGTGCTATATCTGGTTAAGTTTCTTCCTCTATTTTTAGTGCAACTCTTTTTCTTACCACTTGTATCACTTATTGTCTTTTCCAGTAAGCTTACCTAGCTGGCAAATCAGTATATTTGTAGTAACATTCAAGGACTACTGTTTAATTCATTCACAGAAGCAAGATCAAGCAACACCCTAAAGTCTACAATTGAATAACTCATAGTATTACAGAATATTGTTACCTTTTCCATGATAGCCAGTAATGTATGTGTATGTACTAAACACTGCTAGTTGCTCTTCTCATCAACTGCTGGCAAGAGGTCCTCTTCTACTTATATGATCCAGAAATTGACAATCTTCTCATACTGGTCTGTAGGGAGATATGTCATTACATGTTCTCTGAGTTCAGCTGTAGACAGTACTTGTGTGTTGTTCAGGATACATGTATAGAATGTAAGACCCTGACTGAGTTGTTCCATAAGGTTTGCAAGTTTATTGGATTTTGTGAAGGTACAAGGTACAATGAGATTTCCTTACTCTAAGCTCCTTCATACAAGCAACAATGTCTGGCTAGTAACAACTTTTTGTAGGTGCACAACAATACTTTAATGTTTGCCCTGTACTAAAGGAAGACTTGATATAGATACAAGTCTACCACCATAATCAAAGGAGCTTGATATTGGCCAATATAACCACTTTGACAGCTACTTTAAAGACAAGGTCAATTGTGTTGTTTAAGAAAAGCCTGGAATATTAAAAATGTTAGACCCATCTGCCTTAGGTGTTGAGACAGAAGCTTGCAAATCTGTAGAATCATTTGTCATCCAAATTAAAGCTGTAGGTCCTACACAATCAGGTTGTCCACACTCCTAAATAATGTAGAGTACATATCAGACTTGTTTGTTCCATACTAGGGACATGATCTTGTCAAGTTTTGTGGATCAAGTACCTAATGAATCTGTACAGAACTTAGAAATACTCCTTATAGATTATACAATGAACTAAGGGTTTGGATGTGGTATTTTCATAGTGAGTACTCTAATATTCATATAATTATGTTCCTACTGACTTCTTGTTAAGGTAATGAAACCCTATCTGATGTGTGCCTGAAGATCACAATACTTACCTCTGTTCTAAAGTTAAACAATGTTCATAGTGTGATAATCTGAGTCTGAGGAAACACTGCTTTTGCTTCTGTTAACCACAACACTCTACAACCTATGTAAGACAATATTATAATAGCTTTACTCTATTAAAGAATACATGATAGTAATCTGGCTAAGATAGTACTACTACTTTTTTCTCCATTTTACACCCAGTTCAATACAATTTGTCTTAAATATAATTCTTTACATACATCTCATCTCAAACTATTATACATCATTCACATATTTACATAATTTGAAGAAGAAAAAAACTACATAGATTCTCACTACATTAATTTATTAGTTTTGAACTAACATTGTCTAGAGAAAACATACTGTTTCTTCACCTCTTCTCATGCCTTTCTTATGCTGGATCAGCCTAGTAAACAGACTGTATGATTTCTCTGTCAGTAAGTAAATCAATTTGTGAATGATATTTACTACTTACTTTCTTCTTCCTTAGTACTGATTTATGTGGAAAACTCAGGAGAGTACCTGTACAAGGTCTTAGTACAGTCTGCCTCACTGTTGTAGGCAGATTGGACAGTCCTACTACTGAGTACAGTAGTAGTAGTTCATACAATACAGTGCTACAAGCAGCTGGCATGGATATGCTACTGTAAGACAGTTCTATAGTAGTCCCCTGTGCCTACACTATACAGTCATTAGTGTGACCAATATTTGTTACACTATGTTTAATAGGACATGATTGTACTGTATTGGCTCTAGAAGTAGGGGCAGACAGATGTGTAGGCTGGGAAGGAGACTGTATAGGTACTAGGTCTCTATATACTACCTTAAGGACTTGTTTGCACAACTATATTAGATAAGTAAAAACTCACTAAGGCTATTACTTATGTCTAACTCACCCTTCTCTCTAGACTCTATGTCTTGTGTTCCCTCTTCTTATTGATTTTGTCCCATGTATGCTGGACAAAACAGTAAGTGAGACTGTCTAAAATCACCTGTGAACACTTACAGTGCCTACTCACTATTAGTGTACAAGCTCCTAGTGTCAGTAGACAGGTAGTGCTCCTTACTAGGTCCTGTAGATACAGTCTGTAGTAGGGGTACTTGTTCATGCTAGAGTCTAGCATTATTGTATATAGATGATGAGAAGATACAAGGTATGTTGTGAGCAGAAGGATGAGATGATCCAGCTTGTATGAAAGTAAGATGCCTAATAAGGTAATCTTCTATTCAACTTTAGACCTACAGTCTTACAGTATAATTTTTCTAATGACACTTCCATTTGTTTGTAATATCTTGAAGGAGCAGCAAAATTGATAGTACATTACTGTCCAAATCCAAGCTTAATAGCTGTTAAGTTCTATTTCTTTTTCTTTTTTTTTGTAAAAAAAAAACAAAACTTTAAATCAATTTTAATTGTTTATATAGTGTGTAGTTGAATTCTTGTAATCAAATGAGCTCCTTTAACATGCTCTAGTTGGTTCACAAGCTTCTTCACTTGTATTTCCAACTTGTCTCTTTAGCAAATCATAATATAGATCTCTTTTCATTCTATCCTACAAACACATACATACTACTAATTTATTTTTAAGCTTGACTATACAAGCAGAGGCCTATCCAATCTTTGCCTTCAAATTGTCCTTATTAATAACCTTACTATACTCAGTAAAGTAGTTCCTGAACATTACCAATTGTAAGTCTGTATCTGTAACTAATTGTGTCTTTTCTTACAACTCAGTCTCCTTAGTTGACAGCTTCATTACACAATCTGCTAGTTTCAGCAACAATACCCTGCAGCTGAATACAGACATTATTTAGCTAGGTCTGTAACAAATGACCCTCTTTCTCTGTATCTTTTGTATGATTCTATACTTAGACAAGTTCCTGTTACACTAATTTGACACACTGTCCAGCTTTTTTGACCATGTTGTACAGTGAGACAGTCTCCATCTCTAGTGTGTATCTTCTCCTTGTGTCCACATGTAACACAATCCTCATCAGACTTGAGGTCATAATACAAATCAAGGAGTCTACTAAGGACTACTAGTTGTCAGAGCTTGTTTGCAGTTGATTGGCCCCTTCATAAGTCTTGACCTATGAGCTCTCTGTATCTATAAGGTGTTAAGATAGTGTTTCTACCTCAGAAGTCTGTGTCTTAAGATCATTCCTAGTTTCTGCCAGATCAGTCTTGAGCTGAATGTTTTATTCTGAGATTGTCTCTACTGAGCCTCAAGTTCCTAGTCCTTAAGGACAATAGTGTCAGTGTTGTACATGCCTGTTTGAGTGTACAAATGTGTTGACCCTTTGATACTGTGTGCTCTTCCATTTGTGAGTTGAGAGAGAGAGAGGAATTGTATACATTATAACATCCAGGGTCTGTAATTTGTGTTTACCTTTTTTACAACAAAATCATTCATACAAAGTAACAAATATAGACAGAGAGGAACTCAGAAAGTTGAGAAGGTCAGATCCAACTGAATATGTTTGTTGTCTGACAGGAATAGATCACACTCTGTTGTAGAATAGAAATGACAAGATGAACAGTAAGACAAATATCTGAAGAGTTATGGTTGCCCTTAGTAAAACAGAAGAAGTTTGCTACAAGCCATTCCAGCATGCCTGAACTCAAGACAGCTGTGTCAGTAAACAAATTCACAACTGTGGCAGACAATATTGGCTATTGTACAGAATCTATTACCCTGAATGTCTGGTGTAAGAGAATGGCAGTAATGGAAGTTTTAATAATGATTAAGACACTGCTACAAACAATACATTATGGCATCATTAGTGTAAAGCAAAACTAACATGAATCTGAGGCTTTCTAGTAGTGTTTAAAGGGCAGAATGTGAGCCTCTTCTTTTCTATACTATTTTGCTTCATTACTTTTTTGAACAGTAACTTACTGTCCAGCAGGTTTCAGTGTCAAACTGGCCTCTTGGATTTTACCCACCCACTTTTCCAATCATGAGTAACAATCAGTCAACCTTCTCAAACTCCAGACTACCCTGTGTATACATCTAATACATTTCAGCAAGTTTCATTTGTTTATACCCTGATTCACTACAATTAATTTAACTCTAGTTCATACTAATTTTCAAGCTGATTTTTTCATGCTAGTGTTTTTCTCACTTTTCTTATGTTCTGATTTCATCTGTCATTTGTATTCTAGTATTTGTGTACTTTCACAGGTGGGAAACACAGTAGAGTAACAGACTTGGTGAGTTCTAAGTCAGCTAATTCACATTTTCATAGGTTTGAGGCTTAAATCAAACTTGAAACACAACCAGCTAGGACAGCTTATTATGGTCCTACATTTTAGTGTATAAAGATGCAAAGTTTTGTCTTTTTTTTTGTCTCTTCCTGTACTACCTTTCACTGTTGCCTCTGATTTCTGTATACCCATACTCATGTCACATTCACCAAGCCCTGACAACACTCAAGATGAGCTTGATCCTCCTATAGGCTGTCAATGTCTCTCAGAGGATAATGTAACAGTAACAGGCAGAAGGAGACTGTGAGTACATTTTCCTTCTTAATCTTGTTTTTTACTCACCAAATGTTATTTGACAGAAGGAAATCCTTTGCAGGTGCATTCAGAAGGTTGGGTTGTCACCTTGCACAAACACAATGTGTATGAACCTCTCTAACATCCCTCTTGAATGCTACAATTGACTGCTTAAACAATCAAATTGATAGTAAGGACATTACATACACAGCTGAGTATGTTACTCCCTTTGTTGTCAATTGTTGTTAGAATGATATGCCTCTTGTACAGAGAGATTTGCTTGCATAACATCTATAATGCTACAATAGCTAAGCAGCCAACACTTGCAGAAAAAATCATGTCAGCTAATATTAAAGAAGTTTGGCATATTACAGTGTTAGTAAGTGATCCTTCCTACTATATAATTGTAAAGTTAAGTCTTCTAACATGCATTTTGTGAGTTACAGTATGGACAGACTCTTACATGCTTAGACAATACTAATACTTTGAAACAACTCATAATAAACTGGATAATGTTTTCACCTGGCAAGACAGTGCTAAACATTGACCTAAAATACAAATGTGGGTTCAACAATAGTACCATTACTAAGCTCATTGCTCCTGTTGATGCAGAAGTTGTTGATGACAAGTAAGTCTCAAAACATATTCTTGTGACAAGTATACTAATACTTTGACTCATTCTTTAGTACCTTAAAGCTATATCAAGCTTTTGTGCAAGGGTACTACAAGTCTATTTGACAGTGAAGGCAAGTGGCTTGTTAATGGCACAGATCATTGTTTTTTTATGTATGCTGGTTGCAAATACAACCTGCAAAATCCACTCAAGGGTTTCTTAAAGGGTGAATTAATGGTTAAGGTGTGTTACTTTATATTTTTGTATAATTGTTTCTTAATGGGCATACAGGCATTTAGAGCAATCTTTATATGCCCCTCATCTGCTGGAACAAGTAGTATCACACAATCAAGGGCAACAAAGAAGGGTAATGTAGCTCTCAGCAACATGATGAAAGTGACTCCTGGGTCAATTGCCTACATTACAACACAGGTATGTTTTAATAGTATTGTCAATGTCTCAATTTATAGTGACAATACCTTAGACATACTTTGTAATAGTATCCAAGAACATCTTTTCAGCTTTGTCTGTGCCAGAAATTGAAGAAATGTATGACAGTATTTATACTATTTTCAAATCCAAGGTCCCCTTTATCAAGGATTACACTAAGGAGCTTTTGAACTGGTGGACTGTGTATGTTAATTATTTTATTTTAGTCACCTTTCTTACTGTTTATTATAGTCTCATATTTCTGGATACAAATCAAGTACAGAGGCATTGTGGTAAAGGCAGTCTTGGACGTCTCAAACAACATTATCAGCTTACAATTAATGTATAGAATGGTAGTAATCTATTTTAATACTATAAATCTTGTTTAATCTATTTCCTGGCATGAATTGGTTTCTAACCTAAGAACATATTTACATTCTATTTTATCAATAGTATATTATACTCGTCCTTAAACCATACATATAAAATATATTGTCCTATATGCCTTAAATATCTTACAATCACATACATAATGCAACATCCATTATTGACTTATACAAGACTTACTCTTTCATATATTATTATACTAGTCTGAGACCTGCTGATAACAAACCACAAGTATTTTTTTATATTAATATATCTAGAATCTCTTATATACTCCTGTAAGATATAATAGTATTGTATTTAATCACCAGTCTATACCAGACTTACTCTTTCATATATTATTATACTAGTCTGAGACTCCCTAATAACAAATCACAAGTATTTTTTATATTAATATATCTGGAATCTTTTATATATTCTTATAAGATATAACAGTATTGTATTAATTACCAG